AAAAAAGACGGTTGATGGATGACAAAGCCGAGACTGTTCTATTCAGATGTTTACGCAACAAGCAAAATTCAGACATTTTTAGCACTTGGAAAAGTTCAGGGGGGTTTCCCAGTCCGCTGCTAAACTGGCAGCTTAGTTGTGCAACTTCAGAACACCACACCATCTCTGATACGTCTTAAAAATGTCTAAACTGGAAAATAATTTTCTAAAAAAATTTTGAATCTCTATGCCCACTTATTCTGAAATATATATATATATATATTTGCAACAAAAAATTATATAATGTAAAGCTTTGAATGACTGTGTAGGTTTTACATGTTGAGCTTAATTTCTGCACAGTTAAGATTAGAGTTAGAAAATCAAGTTTTCGTAATTAATTTCTGTGAAACAGTTCATGTCACTAATGAGCCACCAGGCCAATTCCAGCCAGAGCCTCCATCCAAATTGTTCAATAATCCATTGTGTGAGACAGTCAGGGCTCTGTCCAAATGATCTCATTTTCCAAAAATGCTCAAAAATCAAAACAAAATTCTCCCCTAATTTCTCCAAATAAGTACAAAAAGCTTTGAAAACAAAGAGCTCGGGTTGTCAGTCAAGTGATGACAAACATGGAGCAAGACTGTGTTGCACAATAGCTCAGCATTCAATACTTCTGCACATCCTCCTGCACCGCTTCCTGTTATGATCTTGATAGGAGCTCGAGTCATGTTTACGCTCATGGGAGAAAATCATCAACAGCGGTTATCTGTCGCCCTTTGTGTCACCACCGTGTCCCAACAGCGTCTGCGCAGCACCGACATCAGGAATTAGTGAATTTGAGTTGCTTCATAAAGGGAATAATGTATATCAGTCATTGTGAATACATCAGATTCAGCCAAAGAGGCAGATTGTCGATTTTCTTCTGTAGTCAACAAAATGAACAGCATTCATGATCTATCATTTATAACAGATTTCAATGTACAGCTAAAAGTAACATACAGAAAACATTAGTTAATTTAAAAATTATTCAAGGTGGTAAATGTTGTTTTAATCTAGAAGTCGTTATGTAGTCCATGATAAAAACTTGAACCTTCTTTCTAGCAAAAAGAAAAAGAAAAAAAAAGTCTGAGGTTTTGGACACATTTAGATTTGCCCATAACTGATTTGAAATCAGTTGCCCTTTTTTTTTTTTTTTAAACATTTTTTAAAATCTTCTCATAGGAAAAGTTGGAAACGTGGAGCAGCCAATAAATCAGAGGAATCACATTTTTATTTTTAGAGTCACATTATTTGTTTTGGGAGTTGTGGTTACAGTAACCAGGCGTTCGTTTGCTTCCAGATTTCCATTTTAGATACACAGAAGTGAAACAAGAAGTTCATGCTTCTTTGTTCTTTTTCACAAAGCTTTAAAATCTAATTTTCTCTCTCTCTCTCTCTTCCTGTATTCCCTTCTTCCAGTCAGACTCCTCTCCTCATGCTGCTCTGCATGTTTCCTCATGCAAAGATGAAGAAAGTAACACTGAAAGCGGAACGCCAGGACTGACCAGAACTATATTCGACTCTGGTTTCACGAGGGATGTGGCATAACGCAACATCCATGTTGCAACATGCGTACATCCTCAGAATACGGTGACTTTTTTTTTTTGTTTTGCAGAAGTCTGTGATTTAGAAAAAAAATGAATTATTCTTATTCGCACATTTCTTAGAAATTTATCAGATTTCATCATTATTCAAAGGTGCATTTGGGAAGTTGAACTAACGTCAATCATTTTATGTTTTTCCACACAAAATTTGACGCCCCACTTCAAACATTTCACTCTTCACATGCACTGATGAAACAAATGACATGGAAAAGCTGAAAAGATAAGAAATTCCACCTCATCTGTAGCTAATTTTACTATAAACCAAAAATAATACGTTGTAAACAAATAAATAAATGACATGATTTCATGAATGATTTTGCCCACAAGTTATGTTTTCATGAATTGAAAGGAAACCATCTTCTGATTGCTTCAGATGATTTTATTTTACTTTTGCCGATGAGTGCTGAACTCATGAATTTGTAGATTTAAAAAACTACAAATTCAACTACAAAATGTACCAAAGATAAATGTTGGATTTCTTGAATTATTACATTGTTACTGTTTTTTTGGCCTAATAAACTTCCTCATGTTTTAGTGTCCAGTTGTGGTCAATCCTGCAAATTAATCTGGTAAATTAATTTGACCAGCTATGTTAGTTTCATTTAGAATTTGACAGGTAAAAAGAGAATATGACAGATTTTTTTTTTTGTTTTGTTTTTTTTTGGATGCTGTCAGTCAAAATGACGGACAACAAAATCATCAGCGCGACCTCTGGTTGTGCCTCTCCTTCTAATCCTGGAGATGTGATGTTGTTGCGTATCGTCACCTTCCTAGTCATTTTTTTTTTTTTTTTAACCAAAAGTGATTTTTAATTGTTTTGCCTAAAACATAGTTTGGAAAGAAAGAATTGGCAATTATTAATTTTTTGGTCATTATTTTAGGAAAGTGACGACATTATACCACCGGTGGAGTTGCTGCTGCAGCAGAGAGTCAGAAGGACCAGCTGTGAGGTGAAAGTGGCACCACTGACCGTATCCAACATTCACATATCATGCAAGTTTCACGCGAGGTTCCAAAAACCAAACGGTCAACCTAAAACTCTCTCTCTCACCAGGGCAGGTTGGCTTAAGAGGGGCTTTTTAATGACATCACATCTGAAATTCTGAGAACAGAAAAGGATTTTCACGTTCATCGTCTCCTGGTTCGGAGCAATTCCAAAACTTTACTTGAATATTTCTGTGACCATCTGTTGTTTACCTTCTCAGATTGTCATCATGCACTCTTTGGTTCTGCTGTCAGCTCCACCTAAACACTCTCTCTCTCTAATCACCCTGGTCTCTCCCCTGCACTCTGTGTCACTCTGTAATCCGTCTGTCCAAGCCCGTTGGTTATTATGCCACGCATGTTGCCCTGTCACGCCGCCTCCTCTGCGTGTGGTGTTCCACTTTCACCGCGGGTCAACTTCTCTCTTTACTTAAACCACTGCTTGCTTGGTGCCGATTCAGCACCTCGACTTAAACTTTAACCTGAAAAAAACAAACAAAAAAACAACAACAGAGAAGACAATAACCCCAACACAGAGAACAATGTGTGCACCGTATTTCCAATAACTTCACATTTGAGACTTTTCGTTTTCCAGATCCCAGCGTAACGTTTCCCGACAGGAATGTCTACGCGGCGTTTAGACGTGTGACTGTGCATATCAGCCGCATGAGATCAGAGCAGTGAGTGGAAACTCGGAGAGGAGGTGTGCCGTTTATCACACGAGGAAATGCACAAGCATGTACAAACATTAATTGGGCTAAAGCATGTGGTTGGTTCAAAACAGAAGTTACAAATTTGATTTATGACAGCTGGCTTCAAGTCAGATTTATTTATTTTTTACCCTTTTTGCCCTAAGGTAACAGAAATAAGCCATCGCGTGTGGCAAGAATAACAATACAAGTATCTAATAACAATATGCAGGATTATTAATGTATCAACTGGAGCATTGATGAAACTTTTCAGATTTCAGTTTGGAAAAAAAACAGGAGCCCAAAACCAACTTCTTCAGTTTTTTTTAAAGCAACTGCATAAGTAACGGATCTTTTGGATCTTTCTGGCATCAATAATCATCCTTATCTATTAATTTACATTTAAATAGGCCTTCGGTGAGTCTGGAGCTCGAGTCAGTGACTTTAGTAATGTACCTTGACCCGTACCTGAAAGGCAGTGGAGCAGCTGCTGAAGCAGAATTCAGGTATTGAAGTCAAAAAAAGCATGCAATGTCTTTTTTGCAAGATTCATCCGTGGCGTTGTGCTTTACCAAGCATTTCTCCTGAACGGGACGCGTCAGATGCACAGTTTATCTCATCAAAATGTAAAACGGTTTCAACAATGGTCGGCCCAAACAAAGACGGGGCACAGGCCCTCTTCCAGCGGGGTACCGTCATTGACGAGTACCTCTCACAACCTCCTCCACGCTGCAAGTTTCCTTGCGTGCCAACAAAGCCATTTTTGTGAGCCAACGACAAAGACTCAAAGAACAAGAGTCTGTATGCGACATTGTGCCGTGTCCCTCTCCGTACTGTCACAGGCTGTCAGGGCCAGAGAGAGAGAGAAAGATGAGTCCGACAAAATGACAGCAGGACGATGCTTCAATCCCCCCATTGTGGTCGGGTCGGGGGTCATGAACCTACAGTGACTGTCAAAAAGGAGACAGAAAGGGTCCCGAGGGAAGAAGACAAAGGGATCCATTTTCCATCATTTATTGTGATAAAGTGGAGGGAAAGAAATTGTATTTCACATACTTGTGAATAAATGTTTTTTTCCTAACATGCAATAGTCATTCCAAACATTGGTACAAATCAATAAAAGGCAATCTAATCACTGTCATATTACATTCATCTGTACAGAAAAACTGGAAGTTTTTGTCATTGTTTTTATGAAAATATTTTAAAATGTATACACGTATTACAGTGGGTTTTAAGAATCTTTGGTGACATTAGATCATGGCTGAAGTTCATCTTTCTGAACTTAAATGAACATGTAAAGCCTGCAGCACCTCTTCAACCAAGAGAAGGTCCCAGAGTTGTGGAAGTCGTCCTGCTTTGTAACACAGAAAACTCTCTGATCAGTCATCGACTACAGACCCGTTGCCATGACGTCCCACATCATGAAGCGACTCCTGGTGGCCCACTTGAGGAAGCAGAGGAGCTCATATCAGGACCCCCTGCAGTTTGCTCATCGCCGTGGAGTTGGAGTTGATGATGTCATCAGACACCTGCTTCCACAAACCCACTGTCATCTGGACAAAGCAGGCAGCACAGTGAGGATCAGGTTCTTTGACTGGTCCAGTCCATTTAACACAATTCAGCCTAATCTGCTTTGTGAGAAACTCCAGAAGATGCAGGCGGAGGCCTCAACAATCACCTGGATCCAGGACTACCACACGAACAGACTGAAGGACTGTGTGTCCAACCAGACCAGGCGGTCACTGGAGCACCACAGGGCTCTGTACTCTCACCATTCCTTTTCACTCTCTACACTTCAGACTTCCAGCACAAGTCCAACTTCTGTCATCTACAGAAATACTCAGATGACTTTGCAGTTGTTGTGTTTATCAGCGATGAACAAGAATCTCAGTGGAGAGATCTGGTGGTCTGCTTTGTGGCATGGAGTGAGATCAGTCACTTCATCTTGAGAGTGAACAAATAAAAGGAGATGACTGTAGATTTCAAGATGAACAAGATTAGATAAAACCATATTTCCATGAGGGCAGAAGTGGAGGTGGTTGATGGATATACACGTCTCTGTGTTTATCTGGACCGAAGATGCAACAGTGAAGTCGTCCACAAGACAGGACAGAACAAACTGTACTTCTCGAAGAAGGTAAGATCCTTCGAGGTTTGCAACAAGGTGCTACATATTTGATAACTCTGTTGTTGAGTGTAATATCTTCTGACATCATGTGTTGGGGCAGCACCACCAGAGGCAGCGACCTAAAAAGGCTCAACAACCCGATAAAGAAGACTGGTTCTGTTCCAGGAATGACCGTGGAACCTCTGACGATGATGGTGAAAAGAAGGATTTCACACAAAATCAGGAAAACTATGAACAATCCTGAGCATCCTCTTCATGAGAACGTCACATAAGCACAGTGTCTTCAGTCAGACACAGACTGAAGGACTGTGTGTCCAACCAGACCAGGCGGTCTGGTTGGACACACAGTCCAAGCCTTTTCACACCTGCTGTAATGCAGGCTGCTGCAGGAGATCCTTCCTGCCCGCAGTCAATAGCATCTACAGCAACTCTTTAAAGAACCGTTGATAACATTTAATTTCAGTTTGGGATCAATAAAGTATTCTTGAATCTGAATTGTTTTGATGCATTCATGAATTCCATGTTTTCAAATGGATCGACGTTAGAAAACATATTGATTGAATAAATATGGTATCTTGTTATCCTCTGGTCACAAAATCTTGTTTTCTGAAGTGATATTGAATTTGCATGTTTTTAAATGCTTCACTTAGATAAATAAAATTTGTATGGTTATTACTTCATTGTCCTCAATTACACTGAAGTATCTACATGTTTGCTTTACTGTTATCTGATGCTTTTTCCTTTAAACCACATTGTGTTTATATGTCAATGCATGTGCATCTGTTTTTGTCATAGTAGATTTTTGCCACACAGGTTTCACAGCTCCACTGACAGGAAGTGCTACCTTAGCAACCAGAGGAAAACATAGGAAGTTCAAATCGCATGTTTCAAATTCCAGCGCTTTTCTTACCCGAGCAAAGGAACCAAAACCAGGGAGGGCTGTAGAAGGACGGGAAACAATGGACAGCACACACACACACACACTCCCACCCGCCCCCAAGAAGACTCAAACATTCAAACTGAAGAGCCACAGTCGTACAGATGGCTAGACACAAACAAAAGGTCAATTATGAAGAGCTGGTTAGAGAGAGAAAAAAGCAGCTATGCACATATTTCAAGAAACAGTGGCAGGGGTGAGGTCATCTATCACTCACTGAAAACTTCACCACAAAAACAGCCATGTGGAGGTCAGAAGGGAAATCTTAATATAAACTCAAGTTAGAAAAAATAATTGTTTCAGTAGAAAACAGGAACTGTATCGCTCACATTTCTTGCAAAGAGACAAAGCAACTTCTTTTCCTTTTGTAAATGTCTCCCACACAGTCGACACAGATAAAGCTTGTGGTTGTTTGCTGTAGCGTCGATGTTTGAAGATCCTCCAGAGGTAGTTTTAATAAAAATTTGAAACTATTTAACATATATGACTATCCTGCCCTAATGAATAAGTTTCAATATGAGAAATGTACTTTTATTCACACTTGGGAGCATGGCAGTATGGGTACTCAGATTTAATTGGTTAACACAAAAAAACAAATCAACCCGTGGAGCTAAATGCATTCTTAACTAAAATGTGAATAACCACCAAAAAACACAAATTGAGTATCAGGATCTGCAGTGTGAATGTTTATTCCTTAACTTGTAACTGTTTTGTGTAATTAATGTGACACAAATGTAGTTTTTTGTTACCGTTTTACCAAATATAGAGAGGCAGTGGATTTCTGTGTAACCTTTTTTTTTTTACACAGCCGCTAATGTTTGGCCCAGATATAAGTAATGCATCAGTTTGACGCTATGAAGCTTACCGGACATTCCTGTAAACAACCATCTTGAAATTCTACCAGAGAAATTCAGCTGCGTTATGCCCCCAAGGTCTAGAGGTCCAGGGGCGGCAACATAAAATGTGTCCAGAGTAACAAGTGGAATGTAAAATGATTTATTACAAGAGAAGGTTTCACAAAACAATACAATTTAACCCAACTAATGCAAAACAAAAGGGGTTAAACTCAAGATTATCAAGTGCAAATTAAAGTTACAAAATGTCCACACAAGTCAATTCAAAGTAAACTCAAAATAACCCAAAAGGGGGTCGGGAGGAGAACACACAAAGGGAGTACCAAGCCTCCTAAACAAGATTCTAGCTTGACAAAACAATCTGATGCAGTCAAGCTACTCGACAGAACAAACAGGCACAAAATGGTTCAAAACAAACTGGCTAAAGCAGTTGCAAACACCAAACAAGGGGGACAGCTTCACAAAACCTCTTCCAACTAACTGCCCCACTGGAGGAATGGATTCAGGAGCCTTTTATAGGGTGCAGGTGGGCCTCATCAACATCTGATTGGCTTGGCAATCCTCTGCTGGTCCAATGGTGTAGCTGCTTTCCTGCAGCCTTCAGGCAGCCAATCAGGAAGGTGTGCTCTCACAGCTGAACCTGCATAACAAAAATGGAGCCTGCACAGCCTCAAGAGGCCAGGGGCCATAACACTATGGGAGAAAGCATAGACGGGGTACTGAAGGGAAATGAGAATCGAGCATAATTGTGTAGGAAGGCGATTAAACTCCCTTCTGAGTCCTATTTCTTTCATTCTGACATCTTACTTCACTCCCCTCTGCATTAGGGGCTCGACACGCGGGAGGCCACGTCTCTCTCTCTCTCCTTTAATTTCCCACTGAAGAAGAGCCGACAATCACTTGCCCTATTCCGGCCAAGCGACCGGCGAAATTCATCCACGTGAAATTTGGAGCTCATACACATAACGACGAAACAAGAAGGTTGAAAAACGTTCATGCCCCGTGTGTTGGGTTCACCCCGAATGGCGGAAAACTGTCACATACGCCGCAATTGGCCGCTCCCAGTGTGTGGAGCCCATTACTCTTCACCTCTTCAGTCTTTCATTATTCGCTTGCCAACTGGGGTCCTACATGTGTGCCCCTAAATCATTATATCAACCCTCCCTCATCCTCAGTTTTACTCCATCCTCCCTCCTGTCCTCTTCTCTCTTGCTGCAAGATCCTGTTTTTAAAACGTTCTCAACAGGAAGAGCACTCATTACGTCTTTATCTCCTTTAGATTATAGAAGCATAACTATAGCTAACTCAAGATAACCTGTGCTACCCTATCTATGAGCTTAATAGAAATAAAAATAAATGTTTTAGGGCGAAACAGAGAGGGCGTGTGTCTCAAACTAAAACTGGAAGCTGGTTTCGCGCTATCTGAAAAGGTTTGGCACAAGATTTTGCAACGTTCTTCTCATTCAACCTGAAAGTTTTGATAACGGCTTACCTTTGGTGCTAAGAAACACCATGGAGTTCTGAAGTCATGGTTCTGTGCAAACCTGTCAAGTCTTTCTTTTTTCCTTTCAAAGATGAAGGAAAATCTGTAAATAAAAAAGACAGAATACCCAATAACTGGCTAAACTTGAGTAAAAAAAGTGCTTTATTGTATGTCTGCTTATTTAATCCTACTGATCTGATGAAATACATCACACTCACATTTCTCCCTCTGTTTGTAAATTCCTCAGAAGAAATGCTCTGCTCAGTGCACCTGCATATTTCTCTCCCTCTGCCCCTTTCACCTCCTCCCTCCCACATTCTCTCCGTTCTGACAGTGTGATCCATGGGGGCATTATCTTTCCATTATCTGTCCCTCCCATAATCATTTCCCTCACCTCGGCCGGCGTCTCTGGAGAATATTAATCAGCTCACAGACAAGACTAATCACTGCTCTGTGGCTATAATGGGAGACGCAGTCAATCTTGCGCAGCACCACAAGCGTGCACGTACACACGGAGAGGAGCAGTTTCCAATTAGTGCCAAACTCCCTCCATGCCTGTGGAAAAAACAAAAAGCTCAAGTCTTCATAAATCGGAACACTAAAAGTTTGGCACATCCAGATGCACCTGCTCTGATGACATATTTCACAAATGCATTTAGTTTGTCACTTTAAGCTACGAAATTTTGAATAAAGGGCCCGCTTGTAAAGGCCTCAATCCACCTTAAGGTGTTATTGTTCATGTCAAAGATGGAAAGAAGAAGTTATTGTACAACAACTGAGACAAAGAAAACACATTGTAACAGTAATTTGTAACAAACTTCTTTTTTGTTTTTCCTTAAATCTGCAACATTCAGTTTAGGGAATGCTATTTTGGGAAACGTTAGAATTTGCTACATATGCCTTAAACTTGTTTTGACGCTTGAGTACACTACAAAAATACAACATCTTATCAAGTATTCTTGTGTAGTTTCTAATGCAAAATATCTTCGTACACATGGATTAAGATCAAACTTAAGATAAAACTAACCTACAGGAAGCTTGTATAACTCAGTAATCCCTTAATAATGATGAAAACGTATTAGTTTCAACTGGCAGATTATTTCACTTACAACATGAGAAAAAAAGAAAAATGTCTTTTTGGTCCGAATCAAGTGAGTCAAAGGACTTTCCTGAGGCGACTAGAGCAAATTCTAGTATTTCCCAGAATAACATTCCCTAAACTGAATGTTGCAGATAAAAAAACAAAAAAACAAAACAAGATTGTTATAAATTACTGGTACAATATGTTTCTTTGACGCAGTTGTTCTAAAATAACTACTTCTTTCCATCTTTGACATTTGGATTTCTTGGTAGAATCTGAATGTTCCTAGTTTTTGTTCAACGACCTTTCTATAGGAAACTCAGTGATTTTTAACCAGCACCTCCTCAATACCACCGTAAAAAAGGCCTTTTAAATCAGCAACACCACAGGTTGTACTCCCTTTATTAGATGAACCAATAGGGATTTACTAATCAGGTCAAACGTGTGTCTACGTCTGTCATGATTACAAATTTTACTGGACGTTAAATTGTCCCTGAAGTTATCGCAATAAACGATAATAATGTTGTTTGGGACCATTTTCAAGAATGACATAGTAATGCAGGAACAGATTTTCAAAGATAAATAAATTTTAAATTCTAATGAAGATTTAACACTGGAACTGGAAGACATTTGACATATCCAAAAGAAATAAAACAACAGAAACAAGAAAATGAATTATGAAGTCTCTACAAACAAAAATGTCCTTCAAAAAAAGGGTCTAGTTGAGACCAAAGCACCA